CATCCCCATCCCCATCCCCATCCCGCGGGATGACGCTTGTCCGTCTCAAAGAAGGCTGCGCTGGGATTGGACATGGAAACGTCCACCGTCCATCGTGGCGGTCCAGCTGCATTTCCACACATCCCTGTCTCGGAGGGTCCCCTTGAGCTTGTATCGAAGAAACTGACGTGGTGCGGCTCGTCGTCGAACTCAACACAACATCACCCGTTTTCCGGCTACTCGTCCCCGAGAAGCCGGCTGCAAGACAGTCTAGACAACAGCTCGGTTATCACAGCTCACGCAGACCCCTGCCGTCTGACCTCGACGACGCATGGGATGACTCCCAGATCGGGCTCCAAGGGGACCAGATTGTCAGGAAGCCCAATCGCGACACCCTAATCAGACTTCCTCTCTCTCTATGACCCACCCACCAACCCGGATGCTCCCGCGCCTTTGGGAACCTGAGCCGAGAAGCCTCTCCTGTGCTCCCCGGTGGCTGGCCCGCATTCCGGCTTCACCTTGCGACGAGAAACACCGTCACGACCTGATGCGGGCTTTTCCACAACCGGAGAAGCCCTTCTTCACCCTTGCTCGTTGAACGCTGTCAAGGATCTCGGCAATGCCACACCGTATTCTCGCGAAGTCGCGAAACTCGCTCACCACCAAGGACGGCATGGAAAAGATCGCTAGGCGGATGCTTCCCTTCCGGTGGATGGACGGCGACTGGGTTTCCGCTTAACGAAGCCGATAGGCCACGAACCCCCCCGGATCTCGGCCTCGCGGGACGCACTTTTGTTGCCGACTAACGTAAGTTACACGTGAACACGGTGGTTGCGCGGATATCGCGTCGGTATTCATAAGTGAGGGAGAGCACGTGATGGCATACATGGCTCTGCGAGTTCAACTCCCACGGCCAAGCGCCTTGATGGAGTGAATGTGGGCTATCGCTTGATATGTTTGTCACACGACTTCGCAGCATGACTCCTATCAAATTCCTACAGGTGCTGGTATGGGGTTCTATACGCTTCTCGTGGCGCACAGCATTTGTCTTTCAGAAGCCAACATCTCTCTCGATCCCGGCCTTGCGTTTGCAGACCTGTCAGGGCTATCTGACATACCGCTGCTCATGTTGAGGGTTCGCCTTGGGATATTGATCTCACTGCCATCGCTTTGTGTGTAATGGCTGTGTAGTTGATATGACCTGCTACCCGTCAGACACACCTTAACCCTGAGGGTTCATTTCTTCAGGGCCTTGTGTCATCTCAGAAAACAAATCCAGCTGCAGAAACGTAGGGCATTAATGCTGATACGTGATCACAATACGCTGGTGCTCGGTCTCTTGGGAGGATGATCAGAAGTTGGGAGATGACGACATTGCATACCATGCTAACGCACGACAAGCTCCTGGCTCAAGTGGACGCGATTGAGCATTACGGGCACGCCCTTCCAGCCATGTCTTCTACAATGACCAAGACGGTTCGCCCTGCCATGTAGATGCATGCTGAAGCTATGCCAGGATATCAAACCCGTCAACCGTGGCTTGCGGGTGTGCAGCCTTTGCTTAGCATTGAGCAGTAGAAACTGCGTGGTGGAAGTATAGCCTGAAATGACATCCTCACTTGTAGCAGCAGTGGGACGTCACACCGGCAAGCCCCAGCGGCAAGGCTCATGGAGGACAGTTGTGCCTGGCAGGAACACTTGGCCAAAGACTTACATGTCACCAGGGAAACATGGAAGAAAGTCACAACGATGCACACACAACATTACTTCTTACGACAGAGACATTACAGGAAACATTTGTTTACATAGAGACCAAGATGTTAGCCAATGTCAAGGAAGGACGGAGGGGGAAAGATAGACTTGCTCACCTTTTGGGTTGCATCATGCATCACAAAGACAGGATGGCGTGCAGCCAAGTAGTCAGTCATTGTCAGATCATATTGAGAGTGCGGGGTATCTTACCTTCTGATTTGAATCGTGTCAAAGTCAGGATGATGGACAGTCGAGTAGTTAGTCAAGGTCAAGGAAGAGCAAGATTGGAAAGAGAGAATTGCTCACCTTTTGAGATGCATCATGTTCCCCGAGTGTGTGAGCAGTCAAGTGGTTAGTCGATGTCAAAAGAAAATGGAATGGGAAAGTATCTTACCTTTTCTTCTTTTTGATCGCAGTCGAGTTGGCGGTCTGGGTTAGTACAAGCATGTCACGTCATACGAGGGAAAGAGAGATGACTTACCTTCTTGGAATGTCGAGAAGCCTCATTGTGAATGTGAAAATGCACAAGTGGTTAGCCAATATCCAAAGAAAAAAAAAGAAATGGAAGGGGGAAATATCTTACCTTTTGTTGTGAGATCACAGTCGAAGTGGCGATCTAAGTTAGCACACACATATCATGTCACACGAAGAGGAGAGGGAGAGATGACTTACCTTTTTCAATGATGCGAGGAAGATGACACGGCGAGAGGAGATACCATAGTAGTTCAAAGAAGCCCAATGACTTCCCAAACCAGAACACGAAGATAAAATGAAGCTCGAGAGTCGTTGCAATGCACTGCGGTGACTCCCGAACAGAAAGCTGAATGAAGTGCGTCGAGGCAAAGGCTTCAGCGGAGGAGACGGCTCGTACGCCGATTGATTCGAACAACTCGCCTAGGACGAGGGGGAGGAGGAGACGGAGGACGCGGTGAAGAAGGAGCGAGGTAGGGACCTGTGAAAGAGGGAGGTTCCCATGAAGGAGGGAGTGACTTGCCTGACTTGGAAAGAATGTTGGATTGAACGTTCCGAGCAAACCGCTGCAGAACTTCAATGTCCTCGTCGCGGAGAGGAGGCGAAGGAGGACGCGGTGAGTCAGGAGCGAGGTAGGGACCTTTGAAAGAAGGAGGTTCCCACGAAGGAGGGAGTAACCTGCCAGACTTGGAGAGAATGTTAGTTTGAACGTTGCGAGCAAACCGTTGCAAGGCCTTGATGTCCTCGTCTCGGAGAGAGGGGGAAGCAGGAGAAGGAGAGGACGCAGAAGCAGAAGGAGGATCCGACTCGGCAACAGCAGAAAGAGAGGATGTAGAAGCAGAAGCAGAAGCAGAGGCAGAATCAGGATGGTCCCACTCAGCAACGGCAGAAGGAAGGGCCAGCACAGGTGAGTGCGTAGGTGAACGAGTGTAAGAGAAGGAAGCGTCCGAAGCAAAGACAGTCGGTTCGAAGTCGATTGAGATGGTAATAGGCGTAGGGCTCCATTCTGAGTAGTCGTATGACTTCTCCGGGGTCGTTGGGTTCTTGGGGGTGGCGGGTCGAAACGTCATGCCAGCCGCCAACTCCTTGAGCTGAGCAAGTTTGATTGCCACAAGGCGATCGCTCTCGGCTGCTTTTGCGAACATAGCTGCCATGTTACGATCCATGGTGTCAGGGCTGCGTGGAGGGGGATGGGCAGAGCAAGAAGAAGGAGAGGGGGAAGGAGAGGGGGAAGGAGAGGGAGAAGGAGAGGGAGAGGGGGACGGAGCAGGGGAAGGAGACGGAGCGGGACGAGAAATCAAACCTCGTTCATGTAGAGCGCGCTGCTGATCCTCGACGCGGGACATGAGTGCATCGAAGGAAGGAACAGGAGAAGAGACGGTAACGGAGGGAGAAGCAGGACGGGGAGAAGAGATGAAAGAGTCAACAGTGGGAGAGCGAGGAGGAAAGAGAAGACGACGGGGAGTGCGAGGCGGGGAAGACGAGCTCTGGCCGACTCCGATCTGGCGAAGACAGCGTTGCTGATAATCTACACAAGCCATAAGTGCATCAAAAGAGGGTGGTGGAGGGGAAGGGGCAGGGGCAGAGGGAGGGGCAGGGGGAGGGGCAGGGGGAGGGGGAAGGAAGTGCACAGCCATGGTGTGATGAATGAAAGGGGGTGATCTGGGCCCAAAAGGCGAACCAGGATCGATAATCCTACCAATGTGTGCAGTATGGTGCTCAAATTCCGGTTCAAACACCGGAGAGGATTGGGCTGGGAGAGGAGTAGCGGTAACGACAGTAGAGGGGGGGACTGGAGAGGGGGGAAGAGAGCGCAGAAAAGCGCGAACCGGCATGGCCACAGCCGAGGGAGTAAGAGGGGGATGGATAGAGATAGAAGACGAACCTGACACACCAACCAAAGCTGAACCAACACCTCCAGACGCCCTACGAGAGGGCCGGTGGACGAAGGCGGCAAAGGCCAAACGAGGAACGAGGAGGGCGGAAAAAACAGGGACATTAACCCAGGACCTGGCGAGGTAAACCGCACCGAGGCCGACGCATGTAACGAGCAGGCAGGAGCAAGTATTGTCGACTGGGACATGAACCCAGGCCCTGACGAACCGTGCTTCGGTCAGGGCGGCGCAGACGAAACGAATGAAATCCATAGCAAGCTAAGAAGTCGATGACAAGTCATGAAGAAGAAAAGAAGAAGAAGAAGAAGCGAAGTTGGGGGGCGAGGCGGGATATATAAAGATATTCCGCATGGCTGGTATCTGTCCCACGATCAGTAAGTACATCAGCTCAGGAAGTCTTTTGGACCGTAAAACAATCAGTCGTTGTGATCCTGTTATTCCATTGGCCAGAAAATCCCGGGAACCTCTCCGGATTTGACTTTCAAGATCATCGGGGTCCATGTCAGCCCTACGAATGGACCTGGATGGACCTCCGCTAAACCGGTCTTGGAGAGTGTATGGCCGGGTCTGAAGCGACAAGCCGGGGGGCGTGCGTCCGGTGAAGAACCCGGGGGGGATAGGGGTGTGACGACGACGAAGACGATGAAGAACCTGTGTGAGGGGTGGGAAGAATGGCGAAGACGATGGATACGAGACGACACCGAGACGAAGAAGACACCGAAATGACAGAGACGACACCGAGGCGGTAGAGACGATGGAAGGAAAAGCGCGCCAGAAGGGGAAAACAAAAAAGAGGAACCCGAGCGCGTAGTATTGTTTAGGGGTTCTATCTAACTCTATCTGCCAGTTTTCCCGTCGACAATCGACCAGGGCCCGGGCATTATGTTGTGACTACCTTTGCTCTCATCGCAAGGGGGAGCCCTTGCCTGGCGTCCACGTCGCACCTGCGCCGAACCCATTGCCCGACACCTGCTCGACGGCAGATGGCGTCGTAGGGGCAGCCGCTGCCTCGCTTGCAAGCGGAGGAGGCGTCAGAGCTCTTTGGACATCCAGACCTCTCTTTGGCGGCTTAAAATTGTTCTCTCTACCTGCGCGATAAATGTCCTGAAGCATGGGCTCCAGCACGCCGGCATCATCGAATTCCAGATACTTGCGATACAGCTTCAGCGCCGTCCTAGCGTCCTCAATCGAATCGTGTGTTTCTAGCTGAATGTCCTCCTTCAGCAGATACCATGCCAGGAAGGCCAGAGACAGCTTTCGCAGGCGAGACTTGAGGAAGAAAAGGTCAATGGTGTCAACGACCTGGGATTTGGGAATATGGATATTGATCACCCGGAAGTCCTGTTTGAGACCATGGCCTAGAAACTTACAGCCCAGATTCAGGAGTATCCAGAGCTTCTTGTATGCGACCTTGAGGGACACAAGGTTATGCTTGGACACCCGCGGGTCCAGGTCCTCGTGAGTAATGCCGGAATACGAGGTCAGGTAATCCACGATGGGCTCCCTGATGGAGATGTAGTCATCGATAAACGGAACCCCTTCGTCCTCTCCCTGACCTCGAACGACGGAAGCTCTCGCAAGAGCGTACACTATTGGCCGGATCGTCTCCCTCTCGCCGTCCGAATTCATCTCGATCTCTGGCTGACGGACAGCAACGAACTCGGTATCCAGAGCGACAATGCTTTCCGGCCCAGGCTGTTCGGTGGCCAAATCCAGGGCGCGGTAAGTCTTGCCGTCCACATGCGGGCTGGTAAGGGTCAGTAGGGGTATGGCGTGCAAAAGGTTGCCGAGACGGAGCTTACTTGGTGTCCTGGTACAGCAAAGAGGTATCGATGTTCTTCTTCCAGTCCATGTCTATCTTGTTGTTCGCCTCCTTGAGCTGGAAAACGACAACTGATGGCATCTTCCATGCAGGATGGAACGCGAGTGCCTCCTCGGTTGCAACGGGCCGCACGAGGAAGTCGTTGAAAAGATGCCACTGGCTTGTTTGAGGCACCTGGGGCTGCGCGTGGGCGACTGACCGAAAGTTAGTCCCGGTGCTCTTCAATGCACATCGAGAAAACGTACCATTCACCATGGCGACCAGGTGAGGCTTTTGCCCTGCACCTGGGTCGATATTCACGGCCATGCCGACGAGGGAATACACAGTTATGTTGTGAATACCGCGCTGTAGATGAAGTTTGAGATCCTCGCCTTCGTAGCAGAAAAATTGGCCATGGTCTACTATGACGCCAATCTCCTCAGGCAGGAACCCTGGTGTTGACCAAAAGCGCCTATGCTCCGGACTGTTGATAAGAGTGTTGATGACAAAGACGGCAGGGATGCTGTGAATGGTCTTTCTAGCTGCAATGTTCTGGTACCGCTGGCATCTGCTACACCAGCCTTTGGAAGTGGTCTCTCTCTCGACGCTCGACTTGAGTATTTGGGAGAAGGTTACCTTGGGAGCCTTCTGGTTCCGCACCATGCTCTTCTGTAAACAGTCAGCGATTTGCACTACGGTGCTAAGGAGGAGCATCCCGGAACAGCCAAGCCCAAACGGAAGTTGTGATGCCAAACCCGGTCAGAATGCGCCGCCAAGTACAGGCATAGCACAGAGGAAATGCTTACACTTTGTTGCGGATACATCAGTTCTTGGAAGAAGCCAGAGCCCGGTCGAGTGTACTCGCTCCTACAGTTCATACACCTAATGAAACTTGTCGCTGAGGTCGACAGCATCTGGAAAGATTTAGCTGAGCTCCCAAGAAAAAGGGGCAGTCAACACACCTGATCCATCAAGCCTGAACCCGGCTGGATTGACTTGAAATCTACCACGATTTTCTCAGTGAGAAATCTGACCAAGCCTTGAAGCATTACGGTCAGACTGGAGCCATTAGGGTCTTCCTCAAGAAGCCCAAGAGGACCGGCCTGAGGATGATGACTGAGAGTCTTCAGCATGTTGGTTGCCTGACAGATTGAGCCCTCGGCCTTTTGCAGCATGTCAAACAAGAAACCCATTTCGCACAAAAGACATGTGTCTTCGACGCAAGCGGTCGCCGCATGTTGGAGCGCTATGTTCCGAAGAAGGGGCGTGAAATGCAGCACCTGAAGCAGGGAGTTGGCGTAAGAGTTGGCGATGTGGATTTCAAGACCGGAGTACTGCGTCCTATTGTAGAACCTGTCGACCGTGAGTGGGCTTCCATTGCCAGAAACGACGAGCTGACATACCCAAAGTCAAAATCATCAACGCCAAATTTGCTGTACTTGATCTCCACGTTCCGGTACATTGGCGGACACTCTGCCTTTAGAGGATCAATGTCCATGCGCATCAGCGCGTTTGCAACATCATCGACCTTTTCGTCGTCGTTGTCGGGAGTCTTGGCAAACTCCCTGGCTTTTTCGCTGAGGAACTTGGGCGCCAGAATACCTGACGCGTTGGCTTTGTCCAGATTGCGGGTGTCTTCCACTTGGTTTCTTCGGAACCCTCTTGTATTACGTCCATACATTCCAAAGTCCGTCGCCTTGAGGCCAGACAGAAACTGCGGATCCAGCTTGGTGGGAGGAGCTCCAACATCAGACACAAGATCTGGCCAAGCCGACAGCAATACATCTCGGTAGTAGGGCGTGCCGATAGAGTTCAGAGGTCTACAAGCAAGTCAGCAAGCGGTAGAGTATTTCAGGATCTCCATGCACTTACGTGTCGGCAGTCCACTCGATACTTGGAAGGGGTTCTTCGGGCGTCGCAAATTCAGTTTGCGATGCGAAGTCAACAAATCGAAGCTTAGATGGAGAACCCCAGATATGGATGTTGAACTCGGCATCCGCAAGAGCAACGGCCTCACCAGATGGCGCGATCTCGAACATAGTCAAATACGTCATTGTGTTAGCCTGCCGTACATTGCTAGTGTTCGGATTCATTAGATCGACGACGTGCATCTGGCCGCTTTGAGACATGACTATGGTGGTGGTCGACATTCGAGGGTGCATCCTGACAAAGGCGGCGCCAGCAGGGAATGGAATCGGCGACATTGACGACATCTTCTTGATATCGAAGACATTCAGAAAGGGATCTAACATGTAGTTCTGGCCTTGGCGCAGTGAATAGCCGCAAGTGACGATGAAGTCGTGCTGGGCGTCCATGTCGCTAATGAGAGCCGAGTGAGCGTTCCAGCTTTTGACGACAGTAAAATTGGCCGCATCGATCAGGTTGACCGTGCCCTCTTTAGTCGCAGCGCAGATATACCTGCTTTTCTTCATAACTTTATACGAATGCGCCGTCGGCACCTGATCTTGTCAGCGAAGCTCTGCGACTGGACGAGGGCGAAAAGCATACCTGCTTGACCACCTCACCCTTAGCGAGATCAATCACAAACATGGTGTCCTGAAAACCGGCAACAAGGATCTCTGACGTCCCCTTGGACGTAAAACTCATGCATCGTAAGTCCTTCATGTCGTCATGTCTACACTGACGTCAGTCAGATCCGTCCTTCTCAGCCGCGTGTGTCGCTACGCACCTTATGTGCCATATGGGAGGGCCTTTACGCGAGGCCATGTGTATATCTCTCGACCCCAACACCACGACGCCCTTGTCGTTCACTAAGATCTGTCGGACGGGCCCATCGGTTGTGGTATGCGCTTTGAAAGAAGTATATCGTTGGAGCTCGCTACCGTAGAATGACGTGACTCTTCCCTGCAGCTGGTCAGGCTCGGACAGCTTCGGACAGCCGTCAATCGGAATCTTACATATTCGTTGCCCGTCCAGAGCAGCTCTTGCGCCGTATCGAATGCCATTGTCGTTACGGGCGTGGCCATGGCGTGGACGCCCGGAGGCGGAAAGGGGATGCGGGCGACCTGGATGGCGGACTTTGTCAACGAAGCTCAGATCAAAGCGCCCATCATCGTAAAAGGTGCAATACAGCCGCGACGCGCGGAGGTAGGTATGGTGAGGCTCGCCCACTGGAACTCGAGCCGCAACACCACAGGCGAGGAGGGGCCCGGATTGCTACTTACCTCGTCCCAATCTCCGTCCATTTTGGTCTTCGCTTCCTCGCCCAAATGACCATAGTTCTAAACGAGTAATGCGATACCAAGAAAGCCGGCAAACGGGTCGCAGCCGGTCGCTCCCATACGTCAAAAAAAGAGAAGTGCACAAATAAGGTACCGGATCGCGACCCCCGCAGCTTCGCGCAGCTCGAGCAAGTGGCAGCAGAGACAAGGTGTCGCGCCCAACGGAGCTAAGCCGCTTGCATGAGGCGGACAGGGTAGGGAGGTTGAGTGTGGGGGAGGCTGGGTTTGGCTCGAGTCTCTCGCTCTGTCGCCGAACTCTCTAAGGAATCCGGAATATTTCCGAAACCAGATCTGAGGTGAGACCAATTTCCACCAACGCCTTCACCGAGAGCTCATTGGCCAAACCAACAGCTCCGCTCCGGTGAGCGTCGGTCTGATATTACCCACCCCAATCCCTTCAGTAAGAGTTCTCCAGTACGTGCAGAGAGAAGATCCGTTTAAGGCAAGTAGGATTTGAACGCAAGGTGTTGGTGCTTAGTTTTCAGTTTAAATTCGGAAATAAACAATCACATAAACCCCGCGGTGGCCAAATCAAGCCCGGGCGTATTGCACGCCGATGTTTTCCCCCATTAGTAGTCAGTCCACCGTTCTATACTTCTTCAACTATCAAATCGTTTCGGTCATGATGTTGCGGACGTGACAACAACAATTGCAGACAGCGAAGCAGCAATCGACTGCCTCTGTGTACATGGCTCGCCATCAATTATTACTTTTATATTTCCTGCCAATTACGACTGTCTATCTGAAGTGCTTGGCGACCAAAAAGCTCATCCTTGCCTGCCCGCCCACCTATACCATTCATAGTACACCTTTATTGTTAAAACAAGCGCTTTCCAAGTCTGAAAGAACTGAAGCGCATTACTACACCGGGAACATGCAGTGATGCATGTGAACTGCTGGGAGAGCAAAGGCATGACTGAACAACGAAGAAGCCACTGCAGCAATGAACTCCCAGACAAGTCGCGCCTTTGTGTGTGCTGTCTGCTCTCCCCACTTTATTCCTTCGGAATGAGATCCAAGTCCTCACCGCTAGGCAAATCCTCCTAGTCCTGGCTGGCACTGAGGTCTAGGCTCTTCTCCCAGAGGTTCCGCAGAATGGCCGTTACACCCTCATCTTCCTCTCCGCCAACAAGACTGGATCCACTAAGTCCTTGAGTTCCGGCTCCCTCGTGTAGAGCCCGGCTGCTCTGGTGGTCGTCAACATCGGCCTCGAAGCTTGATCCGGCACCATTCGTCCTGATTGACTGGGCGCGGGGTGTCATTGGCCTTCTCGCAGCGGCGGCACTGCTCTCGTTGATGCTGGAAGCTCGCGTGTGCTGGCCCGACACAATGCCACTCCGCATCGACGCCGCCTTTCCATTGAGACTGGCAGTGCCATTGCGAGGTATGCGCTGGTTCTTGTTCTGGCGATTGGCCTGCGCTAAGCGATCTAAAGATCGCGCGACGGGGTTCTGGAACCGGCGAACACTGAGGTACTCCATCCCCGTCTTCTCCAGCTGCTTCGCTACACGTGGGTCGCGGCTCGCGCCGCCATCGTAACCCGGGCCTCCGATCCCCACCAGCGGGCTTGCGCCTACTGCACCAACACCACCTCCAACAGCCTGTCCCGGTTCGATCACTGAGCTCGCTCGCTGCAAGTTAAGCTTTTGTTGAGTTCGTGATTTCTCGGCCGGGGGGGCGGACCGTCTGGCCGATCGCGGAGCAAGCGCAGTGCCATCCTCATCATCTGACAATCCGGATTCTCGTCGCGACGGTCGCCCAGAGCTCGCGGAAGACTGTGGCCTTTGCTGCGGGATGTCCTCGGACCTTCGACTGTCTGGTCTCCTCTGAAGGTTGTAGAACGACCCTTCGCGAGCTGCACCGGAGCTTCCAGCGCCAACAAATCTGGAAATCAGTTCATCGCCGGAGCTTGTTCCTGGCAGAGTGTTGATATTGTGCGAGTCGGCGAGGGTGGAAACGCGGCTGATGGAGTCGGGGGACTGAGATTGACCCCGGCGCGAGACGGAAACGGTGTCTGCAGTCATCTTGGGCGGTGCGCCGTGCGAGGGGGTGCGCTGGAGCAACCTCGATGTCAAGTATTCTTTGTGTTGAACGGTCTCGCGATCGGGGGTGGACGAGGCAGGAGGGGACGGTTGCGCTGCGGGAGTTTCGGTTCTAGAATTGTATGCGCTGTTATTCGCGCTGTTGTTTGCACTGCCGTCGTCGGGCTTCGCTGAGGATTGGGCGCTGGCCAGGGAGCCTCTTCTCGACAGGTATGGTGAGGCAGATGTGCTGGCGTCCACCCATTCGTCGTCCTGGCCGTCGTTACCCAAGTCGAAGTGTACCTGCGACTTTTGCGGCTTGACCTTGTTGACGGCGGGGTTCGAGTTGGTCCTCTTTAGCTTGTCGGAAGACTTGGACTTCTTGTTCACTTCGCCGTGGGACTTGTTACGGCGCAGGCTCGTTGAAGAGGTATTTTTGCTCAGGTTCGTGGAAGAGCTGTCGCGAGAGAGCTTCGCGTCGGACTGAACGCGGCGATGGGTGGCTGCGAAGGTGGGCTTGCGCTCGGGGGAAGGGGATGCTATGCGTCGGTGATTCAGCTTGGAGGCGGTTGATCCATGATGTTTGTGTAATGCTTTGGAGGATGGGACGCGTGCATGCAAGCGACCGGCACCAACAACGTGCTTCTGAGGCTTGGAGCGGTGCTGATGATGATGTTCTCTGACGGCGTTGTCGCTGTTGGTCGAGTCGCTCTCCTGATGATTGAGGGCAGGGCGTTTTGATTGGCTGGCAGACGAGGATTCGTCGCCGTCTCTGTCTCGAACCATGATTGCTTATTTGCCCCCTGGATAGGTGTATGACATATGCCGGTTGGGGTGTCGGGATGGTAGGTAGCAAGGCGCGGGTGAGTTCTGATGCGCTGCTGCTGCTACTGCTGCTGCTGCTATTGCTGGTGGGCGTCCTGTCCGGAGGGCCGATGGATGCGGCCGCGGTGGCTGCCGACTTGTTTCAATGACCTAATGCCTGTGAAGATGTGTCCGGGGCGCGGTACGGCGCGAAGCGACCGGGGGGCGACCAATTGGACGATAAGAACGAGGCTGATGATGCTTCTGCGTCGATGCGATGTGCGCAAGAAATGTAGTTGGTGTTGCGAGAGGTAGAGGTCGAGATTAATTAGATTTGCGGGAGAGAATGAAAGTCGAGCTTGTCAAGGTGTCAAGGTACCCGAGACCGAATTCGCACCCGCGCACGCCCGCACCTAAACCGCAACCGCAACCGCAAACAGCACAGCACCCACCGACCATACACCCCCAGAGAGGTATCGTCAGCCAGTGCCGCCAGTGCCAGTGCCTGGATTACGGCCGGCTTACTTACCTAGGTACCTTAGGTACCTGGGCAGGCTGTGGTACGGCCAGCACACCAGCTAAAGTGCCCGCGTCTGCGCCAGGACCCGGCTTCAACCGCCTCTTCCCACCCCTGTAATCCCGATTCCTAAAACCCACAGGCGGCACTCCAGCACTCTGGGGACCCCAATCAGGTAAGCTCTCATTGGCCTGCACCTCCAGATTCTGTCTCACTTGAGGTCATCCTGGGGCGTTGCATGCATTCCCATGTGCTCTTATCAGCACGTGATCCTGGATAAGCTCTGGCTGCAATGGAATCTGGAAGTGAACCCAAGTGCATCAGCGGCTTTACTTCCGCCGCAGTCCGTCGCAAGCAGGCCTGACCATCACAACCACCGCGACATCTTGTGTTTGCCGCTAACCCACCCTTCGCAAACCACTCGAGCCCAACTACTCGCATCCCGCCATTCGTCACCTTCGTATTCATATTTTCCACAGCATCTCTTCAATCCAACAGCCAAAATGTCCGCCGAAATCGCGGCCCTGGAGGCGGATCGCAAACAGTACCAGGAGCAGGTACGCGCCATCCCGCCTGAACCTTCCCAAACGAGCGCTTGCTAACCTTGCCTCGCCAGCTCGACGTCGTCCATGCCGGTCTGAAGGATGACCCCGGAAACCCCGAACTCGAAAGTCTGCAGGCGGAGTTGAATGACATGATTTCCCTCCTGAACGAGTCTCTTGCTGAGCTGCAGCCGAAGCAGGCACCCAAGCCCGCACCTCTCAAAGCCCCCAGCCCGCCCCCCGAGAAGTGGTCCAAGGAGAACCATCCTGCCTTCAAAAAGGCCGCCCCAGCCGTCGAAGAGAAGGATGATGCCCCTGTTGTCTACCGTGTGAACGACACTGTCATGGCCAAATGGGTCTCGGGCGACAGAGGATTCTACCCTGCGCGCATCACCTCTATCACCGGCTCATCGACGGCGCCAATCTATGTTGTCAAGTTCAAGAGCTACGATGAGACCGACACATTGCGGGCCAAGGACATCCGACACATGTCCAACAAACGCAAGGCTGACGGAACACCAGCGTCCGGACCCAGCACCGCACAACAGGCTGCACAGCCTGCGCCGCCCAAGACATCCGGCCCGTCGAACGGTGTCGTCACATCCGCTGCTGCTAGCTTGTACCCGGAACAACAAGCCAAGCTTGATGCGGAGAAGAACGCCGATGCAGCTACCAAGCCTCCCAAGGCCAAGAAGATCAAGGCCACCAAGGAGCTGGAGAAGGGCAAGAGCAAGTGGCAGGAGTTCAACGCCAAGTCCAAGTTCGGAAAGCAGAAGAAGGACAGCATGTTCCGCACGCCCGACGGTGTACATGGCCGAGGTATGCCAACCCCTCATTATCAAGTCTGGGTCTTTTACTGACGTTGTCACAGTTGGCTTTACGGGCTCCGGCCAAGCCATGCGCAAAGATCCTACCCGCAGCCGTCACGTATACCAGCAAAACGACGAGCTGGACTAACCTACAGTCTGATTTCTATGCATGGGAATGATCCTCTCGACAAAAGGAAGCCCGAGGGCTGGATGGCGTTTAAGGGTGGTTTGGCAGTCTCGTTCCATTCCTGGTAATGTGTCTTGTTTCCGCGTTACATAGGCTAACGGTTTGTACACACGACTTTTCTTCCCTCCAGATGCGAAGGGGTTGCCCCCCGATCTGGGTGCTGCTAGGAGCGCAAATGGACTGTTGACACAAATACATGAGATGCCCACAATACCCCTGCTCGAGGTCCGTTGACTAAACGTTTGCTTACACAGGGTATCCTACACTCATCACGCCAATTTGAAGCTCACCCCTCCGAGCAATTTACGGTGAACGGAGGCCGATCCTGGGAGCGATGTTCTGGGCGATCTTGAGGAATATCCCTGCCCGCTCACTTGTCGGTTCAGACACCACAGTCGGTTTGCCGAGGTCCGCGTCGTCTCCAATTGACGGGTGGAGTGGTATGTCGCCCAGGAAGCTGATATTATGCTCTTTGCACATGCGCTCGACTCTGTCGTTCGATCCGAACACATGAGTATCTCCATGGCAGTGAGGACATTTGAACAGTGACATGTTTTGAACCAGGCCCAGGATATTAGTGTTGACCTTGTTGAACATGTTGACGCCCTTGACGGCGTCCTTCACGGCGAGTGTGTGAGGTGTCGTGACGATGATGGATCCTGACAATGATCAGTGACATGTACCGCGTCAGACTACTCTCGGCTGGGGGTATACTAACCATCGAGAATGATTTGTTGGGTGATGGTCAGTTGCGTGTCTCCCGTTCCAGGGGGCAAGTCCAAGACCAGGACATCGAGATTACCCCAGTCAACCTCGTGAAGCAGTTGTTGAATAGCCTTCATAACCATCGGGCCCCTCCAAACCACAGCATCGTCCTCCGGTACGAGATATCCCATCGACATGGTCTTGACACCATAATTTGTCATTGGCACCAGTTGGTTATCTGGGCGGTCATCAGCATGAGACCCAGCCGAGTGAGAGATTCGACTCACTTTGCGACAATCTTGGCTCCCCTGAAAGCTTGAACAGGGTAGGGACGGACGGCCCAAAGATGTCTGTGTCGAGAATGCCAGCGCGATATCCTAGCCGCGCAAAAGCCAGAGATAGATTTGCTTCTGGAAGTCAATACAACGCATTCTTTCTGTTCACTAATGTTCTGATTATCTTTCTCACCCGCAACTGTGCTCTTGCCAACACCTCCTTTGGCAGACGAGACGGCAATGACCTTGTCCACTCCGGTGATCTTGCGCCGAACCGGTTTTCGCGGCCAATGCGGTGGCGTGCCGGATTTCGGGAGGCCCTGGGCTCGTGTCAGTGCCTGGTTTCTCCGGTTCAGTAAGGAGGGCACTGTACCAGAGGGTTCTCATGACCTAACACTCGGGAAGTGGACTGAAACGGGCGGCATAACGTTGGTCTCATTGTGAAAAGGATCTTGAGCGACTAGCAACACCCGAACACCGCAATGCAAACACAGTCACGATGGATGATGGAAGACTACTGACGCCTGTTGGATGGAGGTGAACGGTTCAAGCTGAAAATGATTGGTCGCTCTCCGAACCGGTCTCCAGCGCGGAGTTTCTTCGGCGGAGAAGAGGTGAGTTCAGGTCGCCGCCATCGATCATACCGAAATTATCAAAAATGAAGCAGCTTCCCTTTCATTGACGCAAAAATCATCCAGTATTCTAGACTCCCTTCTCGCGAAGTATTGAATGGAACGAGCGTTCCAAGGTGTGTTGGTGCAGCCTCGACCGTTGCCCACGTGATCTGTCCCAGCCACAATGCCCCACAATCGAGCTTTCCAGGTTAGATACGTACCTTCTCACCGCGCCTCCAGTTCGCGATGAGATGAATGAGCAGTGAAGCGTAGTAAACAAGCAATCCAACCGTACCAATTGCCGGAGAACGAGCATGGGATCTGAAGGAATTCAAAGAAGCAGCATCTAGGGGACGTTTCAATCACGCTCGCATTTCCAGATACCCCGATCGCATTTTTCCATCTTCCTCGACCCTCAACCTCCAGCCTCCGAGTCTGGTCTCAAACTGACGCTCTCGACTCGACCTGCCTTGCTTGACCCGGCTTTCTCTGCCGGATTAGGGGAGCAACCAATATTGAAGATACCCGGAACGCCGATTCCACAACAACACAAACACCGCCAAGATGACGACCGCGTCACTCTTCGACATGAACCAAGGCCGTCGCGACCTAGCCGCGCTGCCGACGGACTGGCAAAACAACATCAGAGAAGCTGTAAGTCTCACCCACCCGACCTCCAAGCACCAATTCATCGCCCGCTCACACCAGCCGGGAAAACACAGTGGGAGGTGGTAGACCAACAAGGCCTGGGCTCCCTCAACGCGCGCGAATGGCCGTTTGCACTGCGCGCCATCGGCTTCGACCTCGCCCGCACAGAAACGTACGCCCTGTTGCTCGCTCACGGCGTGCCGCCCCACGACCACGATCCGGCGCGGGGCCCCTGCAGCCCGTCGCGTCTGCGCATGCCGCAGGAGCACTTCTCCGCCATCGCCGCGTGGATGCTGATGCGCCGCGACCCGCAGGAGGAGGCCGAGGATGCGTGGAAGATGTTCGACCCGCGCGGCACGGGGCGCATCACGTTGGAGAGCCTGCGCGCGGTGTGTTCCGAGGTGAACAGCACGCTGAGCGAGTCGGACATGCGGAGGATGATTGAGATGGCAGACATCTCGGGCAAGGGGTGGGTGAGCAAGGACGAGTTCATCGAAGTCGCAAAGGGTGGGTTCAGTCGGGGCTAGCACAGCAGCACATTTCGATGGAGGAGCGGGCGGCTGATATTGTTTTTATACGTCATCGGGAGAGTGATCACGGGGATGCATCTTATTGGGAGCATCATGGCATTCGCGAGTTGGATTTTACAACTACATCAGAAATAAGCAACCGGGAGCGGTTTCCAAGCAAGCCATGGTGAAAAGAAAAGGCATTCTGGGCCGTGCGTGATATCATCAAATCGTGACGCCAGGCGAATGGCGCAGCGGCAAGCCCGCCTTCTCGTACGCCATATCAATCATCCTCATCTGGTTGATGCTGTCCTCCCCATCCACCCAAAACGGCGTCTCGCGCCCCTTTACGCGGTTGACAAACTGCTCCAGCTGGTGTCGGTACGTGATCCAGTGCTCCTCGCTGGCGGCCTGGATGCCCGCCTCCTGGAAGGTGTACGCCTTCTTCGACTGCTTCTCCGTCCACCTCTTCACCACCGCCCCGTTGCTCTTGTTCTTGATGACGAACTCGTCACTGACGTCGATCCGATGCCATATGCCGCCAAACATGAAGTTGGCGAAGTCAATCTTGCGTTTGCGCGTCTTCTCCTGCCCGACCGGCAGCTTGGCGTCCTCGACGACGGTCTCCTTGTGCGTGACAATCAGCTTCGGCACTCCGATGGCAGCGAGCCCGGCCCGCAGCGTTCCCTCTGCCTCTGCGGTCCCGCCGTTCTTCATCCGCCAAGTGACGTTCCACGAGTGGTCAGCCGCGTCCTTGGGGGGAGGCATGGTGTCGAACTTGGCCTCCAGACATTCGTCAGGCTCAATGCCGTAAGTCTGGCGAATCGCACTGATGGTGTACGTCCCAAGGTCCATCAGAGCACCGCCGGCAAGATCGTATTCCCACCGAATATCGTCGTTCCCAATAATGAACCACGGAATGTGTGCGCTAGCCTTCACATGCTCGACGTTCGGTGCGTCGACCAGGGTCAGATAGTACTGCCAGCTGGGCTGGAACCGGTAATGGAATGCCTCGAGTAGGACGGGGGCCTTCGACTCCTTGAGTAGTGGCAGTCGGAAAAGCGCCTCCGCCTCTCGAGCATTGGCGACGGACGGCTTCTCGAGGAGGACGTGCTTGCCCGCCTCAAGTGCCTTGACGGTCCATTCATAGTGCAAGCCATTAGGGAGTGGGATGTAGACGCAGTCAATTGAGGGGTCGTCAATGATGGACTGATAGTTTGGCTTTACGTCTGGGATGCCGTGCTTCGCGGCAAACGCGGCGGCCTTCTCAGGGTCGCGGGCAGCGACTGCTTGGATGACAACCTCTGGATGGGATCTGGCCGGGTTGATTAAAGCCATGGGCCTGGACTGGTGTTAGTATTGTGGGTTTTGAGATCATCGTATTGGCTCACGCAATGTTGGCCGCACCAAGAATACCGAAGCGGAGAGCCCCATCTTGCCGTGGCGCGACCGGCGGATTGAAGATATAATAGTTGCGCCGGAGGAGACCCCAGATTGAAGCCATTTTGGATTGATATCAGAACGTAGGTGGAGTTCGAGCCAAGTCAGACAGCGCCGCTGTGAATCACGTTGGGTTAGAGTGGGATAATGAGCTTACAAATGAGAGACATGAGGAATGAGGTGGGGTGATGGCTGAACATGGGATGATGCAGGACCGAGGTGACGTCGAGACACGGCACAGACAACCAGGGTGCAGGCAGCCGTCAGGGGTACTGTGCAAATGGTAAGAGATGTAATAGAGTGCGGCTTGCACAACAATAGACCACGCACAGCGACTGTAGATGTGGCCGAGCTGGCTTCGAGTGCTTGCCTGTGATTAAGGAGTCATGTCGCCAAGCTGCAATGTTTCTCAATGGAGCATCTTGTGGCACAGGAGGGCACTTTTTTGATCTTTTACTTCAATTTGAATGTATGTAGGTAGGCGTCTTTTGACAGCTTCATCCTACGGAACAGAGCCTGCGACCCCACATCTCGGTCCAGTCTCTGCAGAGGTATCACCCATTATCCATCCTTTACAAAACGTTGTCGGCCTTGAAGTCAAACAGGGCCTGCTTGACACGGTCCTTCATGACCTTCTCACCCTCGCGGACCCAGACTCTGGGGTCGTACTTCTTCTTGTTGGGCTTGTCATCACCCTCGGGGTTGCCGACCTGGGTCCTATTCGGGCGTTAGAGGCCGTCGTCTGACAGCTGATAAACAAGGGCACTTACTTCAGGTAGTCAATGTTCTTGGTAACGTAGTCACGGATACCGGACAGGTAAGCCCACTGGAGGTCGGTGTCAATGTTGACCTTGACGACACCGAAGGAGATGGCCTTCTGGAACTCCTCGACAGCAGAGCCGGAGCCACCGTGGAAGACGAAGAAGACGGGCTTCTTGTCGCCGTTGCCAAGCTTGGCAGCGACGAACTCCTGGTGCTTTCCGAGCAACTCGGGGTGGAGCTTGACGTTGCTGCGAAGAGGTCAGACCGGAGCTCATTGTCAAGGTTGCTGGTTGATTGCTGATTGCTTACCCGGGCTTGTAGACACCGTGGACGTTACCGAAACCGGCAGCGATGGAGAAGTAGGGGGAGATGGGGGACAGAGCCTGGTAGATGGCGTAGATGTCCTCGGGCTGGGTGTACAGAGAGTTGTTGTCGACATCCTCGTTGTTGACACCATCCTCCTCACCACCAGTGACTGTGTGATTGTTAGTTACGGCGTTCAGGGCATGATTGAGTCGTGCCTCTTACTTCCGATCTCCATCTCGAGCCACAGCTTCATGGGAGCAGAGCGCTTGAGGTACTTGGCGGTGGTCTCGATGTTGTAGGCGACCTCCTCTGTTGCATGTCAGTCTCGTGCTGTTCAGAAGGTATCGGGGCCGGCACGAACCCTCGGAAAGGTCAATCATGTGGGAGGAGAAGAGGGGGTGGCCGGAGCGCTTGAACTCCTCCTCATCGGCGGAGATCATGCCATCGAGCCAAGGCAGGAGCTTCTTGCTGCGAAGACTGTCAATTCCTGTGCGGACAACGCAGATGTTGGCATCGGGGGCAAACTCACGCGCAGTGGTCGGAGTGGAGGACGACGGGAACGCCGTAGACGGGGGCAATGGAGCGGATGTAGTGGGCGGCAGCAATGGCACCGGCGACGGAAGCCTCCTGCTTGTCGGCAGAGTTGGGGATGGCCTTGCCGGCGAAGTAGGCGGCACCGCCCTGGGAACTGGGACTCGTCAGAACCGAGAACAATCAAGTCGTTGGTAGGTCGAGACGACGTACGTCTGGAGGACAATGGGGGACTTGGCCTCGCGGGCAGCCTCGAGGGCAGCAACGGCGGTCGAAGAAGAGGTCTGGGAGGCGGGGTTGTTAGCCGATTGTCAACACCCCTCTTTTCCGTGTCGTTCGGTCTGATCTCCGGCAACCGACGACGGCGGCGGCGGCGGCGGCGGAACACGACGAGCAGGGCGGAAGGGAACAACAACATACGACGTTGCAAGCGGGAATGGCAAAGCCCTTCTCCTTGGCGTAGGTGAACAGCTTCAGGACGTCATCGCCGTAGATGACACCGGGCTTGATGTTGAGCTCTTCCAGCAGACCCATGATGGATGGCGGGGTATCTGTATCTGTCTGTGTGGTATTCGGGGTTGTGTAGTGAGAGGTGTGTCTGTTGCGACGGGCCAGAGACGAACGGACCAAAAGGCTGATTTGCGATGTAGGAATTGGAGGAAGAAAAGATTCAGAAAGAAAGTTTGGAATAGGTGGAAGTGGACGGGTTAACTATGTTTGGTTGCTCACACCCACGAGCGGGATTTTACTCGGGCTGAGCAGCAGAACCCGGTCCATGTCCCACGTTCAGTCCATCGCTCCAGTGACGGGTGCCCTTTGCTGGGTCGCGGTTGCATGAGGTGAGGTGCGGTGCTGGGCCTGGGCTCGACTGGGAAGGGACACTGCCTGCGAGAGGTGAGGTACATGAGGAGCTCCTCTTCCCTGTCCAGGTTGCTATTTCTTACGCCAGTCCAACGGCAGGCGGTACATTGGATGTGGAAAGGCAAAGTACTGAGGGGCATGCTGCGTAGCTGCTGCTTGCTACCGCGATTCACCTCCAGCAGCCAACGTGGGTACCTGACGGCTGGTTCAATTTCCTTCGGATTTCCCTGTGCCATGCCACTTCTCGCTACCTACTAGGCAGGTATCTCATTCATCACCGGGCTCCTCTCCTCGCCGAGAGCGCCGCCATCAGTGGGAGACTGTCTCTCTCTTTCTCTCCCTCTCGTTGCAGTGTCTCAACCTGGAAGACTTGTTGAGGAAGGGAAGGGAAGGGGGAAAAAAGTACTACTGCGCAAGTACCTTAGCATCGGACCGTCGAATCACAGAGCCCCTCTTACCACGTCAAACGCGATTAACCCCTCCCCCCACCCACCGTCCAATTGACGTCAAAATATTGCTGGCGCACCACTTATTGCAGGGATCCAATCACTCGCTGCCCTGTGCTTTTCCCGGTTGGGAGACGAGGGGCACTGCGATGGCGCTGGAATGGCGGGGCTTGTAGAGGGCCCAGCTGCTATGCCCAGCCGTGTCAGCGCCTCTCTGGCCCGTGCACCTACCGCTCCGGCCACCGAGACCGCTGTCGAGCCTGCTGACTGTCATGGCATTTGACTTTTCCCTCTCCAGACTTCTCGGCCTTACTTCTGCTTGTTGAGATATTTATTGTCCAGCCCGTGGATATCACTGACTCGATTCTCCATAACGGGGCTGCCCTGACGGCCAGGGTGGTGGTTTCACCGAGCATCTCGGTGTGTCGAAAGGTGTGTAAAAATAAAACATCTATATTCTTGGATCCGAAGCTGATGCCCGCCTTGTGAAGCATCGTGAACCTCCGGACCCGACCCGACACACACACCAACCGCAACAACAAATCTCCGTCGCATTGCAACCCCCATCCCGGCCCCAAAGATGCACCATCGGATCTGCTTCCCCCAATTTCCTTACCTCATGCAGCCGGGCCCCGGAAACCAACGACCAATCGCGCCGCTTCATGACGATGCCATCCCCGGCCATGAACTCATCCTTACCAGCTGCGCCGTCCCACCCCAGCCTTGACGCCTTAGCCATTGCCGAAGCCCGGGAAGATGCGGGATCGTGACAGCCTTCGACCCTTTGTCCGCCGAAAACCGAGCATCCAACGACCACACATCGGCCCCTCGATGCCTTGTCTTCCTCGGCCAACCGTTGACCATCCCGCGATACCCTCCTCCATTGCCGGAGAAATTCCACACCTCTCGGCTCATCTCGTGTCTCTGATATCGTGGCCTCCACTTCCAAGAGTTCGCCTTCCCACCTGACGGCTTTGGACCCGACCTACATCTCGGCTTCGAACCGCGAGCTTGCATATGCCATGTCATGCCTTTCCAATACCTTGCAAACACTCGGCCAATCGCGGCGGCTTCTGGAGCTTCTTCAATTCGTCAAGCAAGTCATGCTTCTATTTCGATTACTGCCAACTATCAATACCAGGGCTCAGCCGAACGAGACTGACAAACCGAGGCACATCGTGTCCTCATAACAACGCCGTCGTGTCAGGGGTATGCATCCGTCCTTCGCCGCCTCCCACTATATACCGTCTCCTGTCTTCTCTCCCGGGCCCCGTTCCCCCGCCATGTCCCTCTTCAGTCCAACTCCAGATTCTCTAGTGCCTCCGCCACAAAGGATTGACCCCCGTCCCGTCCCGGAGACGTGTGCCCCTCCATCTGCGCTCCACCGTCGTCCCCAGCTTCGCTTCTGCTGCTGCCCTCGCTTTCTGTTTCCGGCGGCGTCTCCAGGCCCGTAATGTCCCGAGCCCCCAGGTTCCGCTTGAGCATGCACATCTCCACCGCAATCCCGGGCCCGAACGCGCACCCCACTACGTAGTCGCGTGCCCGGCCCTCCGGAGCGATATCATCCATGTCTTTGGAACGCAGCCGGTCCATCACGCTGAATATCGTCGCCGAACTCGAGTTCCCGTGCTTCATGTATGTGTCATAGCTCGCCCGCATGTGGAATGATGAAATATTCATCGCCTTCTCTGCCTCGGTCAGAATCGTGGCACCTCCTGGGTGCATGGCCCAGTCGAAGTCGTCCGCCTTCTGGTAACGCGGCCCTAGTGGGGGAATCGAAGACATGAGCTCTGAAAAGGTTGTGGGTACGGCCGCAGAGGCGAGTTTCGGGACTCGTGGCGAGAGAACCACCTTCCACCCTTTCGTTCGTGTCAGCGTGTGTCGAACACAATGGCCAGCCGGTGTCAAACTTACCAACAGGATCAACATCGAAACCCAGGTCGCCTTCGGTATCTGGGATAATCTTATGCTCCCACCCCAGCAAGGAGTACACAGGCGTCGCAGGCTGCCCGATGCCGTTACTGAGCACCACAGCACTGGCGCAATCCGAGAACAATGCGACGCCGATCCTCGTCTCCTGCGTCTCGTTGATGCTGTCCAGCTCGCTACGTACCAGTGTCGTGCTGACTTCGAGCGCGACGCAGAGAATCCGAGCAGGCTTCCCTCGAAACTTGTGGCCCAGCGCCAGATTCGCCGCGGTTCTCAACGAGGCGAGACCTCCGCTGCAGCCCACCCCGTGCAAGAGGACCTTCTCGACCTGGTGTGTCATCCCGAGCCCCTTGATAACGTAGTGGTCGAACCCTGGGTTTGCGCTGTCGGTGCAGGTCGTCGCGACGATATGGGTGATCTCGCTGAGATCGATATCTGCTTCTTCGATGGCCTTGCGGGAGGCGCTGACGGCCAACGGGACACCATCGCTCATGAACACATTGTGAAGATCGGTGATTGACGGAGGGTTCTTCTGGTTTACGATCGGATGCTCTGGTGTGCCGATGGACGAACGGTACTCGATGCCGGTGAATCTGTTGATGGAGAGGATCTTCTTCATCCTGGTATCACCAGGTATTAGCAGGATCGCAATGATCGCGGAGGAGCCGTTACGTACGCAGGTGACTCAGGGTAATACATCTCGCTGAGGTAGTCTATCGAATTGGCCTCCAGCGAATGAGGTGGGTACTGAGTGCCGACTCCGATGATGTCGAGACCCAGGTCCCCGAAGCCGTCGTTGGCGGCGGCCATTGTGAATGGTGTAATGCGGGGGAGGGGTAGCTTCTAGTCGGCCGCTCTGCCACAAGTATAAACCGGTCAATGGCGAGGCGATGAAGAATTGGCGCTCAGAAAAGCCAAAAGAAAGCTTCTTAATGGCCTATGAAGATGAAGATAGGTAGACAGAGATGGTCGCAAGGCGCAAGAAAGGCTGGGCGCTTGGCCTGGAGTGGTGATATCACAACGACGATGCTACACAGTTTACCCGAATCAGGGCAACACGACAGGGCCCAATGGTTTTGTGTGCGCTGCTTGCTGTCGACGGCGGCAAGATGGAAACAGAGACAAACAAAAGGGCACAACTCGGCAGGCTTCCAGCGACCAAGAGGCGAAAAGTCGGTCAGTCGAGTTGAAAGTCAAGGAAAGACGGACCTCATGCACAGGAGAAACATGTTGGCGACGGCGGCATGGCATGGGGGGGTGGGTAGAGGATATGTAAGGAAACGCGCCGTCTCTTTTTTTGGTTGCCATCCTCTGGCGCATGAGTGCATCCAGTCCAGTCGAGCCAGTCGTCTCCCCTCAACAAAAAAAAAGGACGACCCAGCCGAGACGAGGCGGGTTGGGAGCAACCGCGGCAGAGGACAGCTAGTAGCTGGCCATCCGTACCTTGCTTGCCCTCCACCTCACTTGGGGACGGGAACGACACTGTCACTGACTGAGAGAAGAGGGGAGGGAAGGAGGGAGGCCTTTGTGCCGGGGGCTGGAACCATGCAAGCAGCAACGCGTGTTTCCTCGTGGCGAAAAGGAAAAATAAGGGACGGAGATGTTGTTGCACCGTTTCGTTTCGCAAGGTTCCCCCGCCGCCTACCTTGTCCTCGTCACAGGCAATCAGCTGTGTGGTTTTGAGCAAAGTAAGGTAGCCTCCAGGACCTGAACCCTGGCCAGCCAGCCCGCCCTGCCACCCCTGGGCACGAACTTCGGGGCTCTGCCTCATCCTGGAATTGAGCTGCAGCTTTTGCCTTGCGCCGCGGTTGGCAGGTGCCGTGCTGTGGGCTGTCTCTCATATTGTCGTGTCTTGTGGTTCCAACAGAGAGCTCCAAGCCTCCAACAGACTGTGACGGTGCGGAAAAGGGACCCTTGACTGAAACAGGTCTGAATCCAGTCTTCAGAGCCGGTTTACGCGAGTGGGGACCTCTCTGTTAGAGGAACCTGGAAGCCCTTATCACGCTTTACCTTTAGCTTGCACCCCTGCTAGGTACGTTGGTTGGGCAAGCAAGCTTGTGGGAAGCTCGTGTCGTCTGGGGCTGTTGCTAAAAAGTCGTGATGGTGTGTACTACGGATTATGCAGTAAGAGCATCATCTTCTACCCTTTGAGCCCAGCCACATCCAATTTGTGAAGGTTTACGCCACACTATGAAAATTCTGTTTATACTGATAAATACCTACTAAGCATCGTGGTACTGTTTATAATAACCAGGAAAGCTTCGATCCAGGTTCGCAAGAATATTATCAATAACCTCAATAGCCTGCAGATAACTCACTGTATGAGAGATTATATAGGAGGAAGAACATGGGTCTTCCTCTGCCCATCGACCATCCCTGACAAGATCAACTCATCATGCAGTAAGAGCATCAAGGAGGTTGAAATGTGTGAGTGTTTGCTTGCGTGTGACAATGCAAGATTGCGAGCGGGAGTTGCCATTGACTTTGCCTGATGGAGGACGGGTAGGTGGTTGGTTGGAGTGTGAGGTCGTTGAAGCTCTGGCTTTTTCTTGCACAGAGCATTTCGTCTCATTACGTATGACAGGCGGCAGAACCAGCTCCTCCCGCAAGCCTCATCCGATGCATTCCTCCATCTGAACCAACCTCAAAGAGCAAAACACTTCAACAAGTCATTTTGGCCTCTGTCGTTGCAATTGCCTTCTATTTCCCAAGAGGACTCACGGCCTCGGCCCGCGAGCTGTGATCGACAGGTCTCTCTCAGATGATGCCCCCCCCAAAAAGGTCGCGCGCCTCCTTGCGGGCAGCACGCGTCATGATTCATGGTTTAGCTCCTAGCTCGCGTGCCCGTTGCGGCAGGTGGCTGGGCCACTGCGGGAGCTCCCCTGCATGGCATTGAAGCTCTGACGAGAGAGTTTAACCCAGGTACCCAGGCCTGTGGGATTCGCCGACATTGCGAATCGGTCGTTATTTTCCCCAAACGTAATGGATAGCGAGAGAACGTCAGCATAAATCGCAAAGCGGTCATGGAGGCGTAATCAAACACCCTGCTGCGGTACTCTTGCGCATGACTCCAGAATACCACGCCCCAACAGCCAGTCAGACGCCCTAGAATGGAGCTGACCAGCAACCACGGGAGCCGACGAAGCGACGTCTGCTCACTTCACAGTCAATTCGCTGATGTTTGCCCAGAAAAGCCGCTCCCTTGCCGCCCAGCCATCTTCTGGAACGTGTCCAGTCGAAGTTTAAACTTCCCGAGGCTAACTCCCGCCGACACTCAGTATTTTGACATCTGCCCGCCTTCATTTGACACCGAGGAGCTTTGGACTCGGAAGTCGACGCTATCCCCGGCAATCTCTCCGCTCGGGCAGTTGAGTTGCTCCACGCCGACTTTTGTGTCTCGCCGGCGCCGACCCGGACTCTCCGGACCTTTCCCTCGGCGACCGGTCATCGATTCACGGCGTTGACTTGGTCACGTATAGCCTCTAACCTTCCGGCCGACCAAACGAATACGAGCTACTGTAATTTGCCCTTCAGCTATCAACCATGCTCTTCTCCAAGATCCCTTTTCTTCTGCACGCACTGGTTGAGACTGCGGGGGCATCGTCGTTCATCTTGAAGCCGCAAAGCCAGCTGCCCAAGCCCTCCGCCGCCGCGCAACTCGTGCTGCAGTCATTTGGTGGCCTGCTCTTGAGCACGAATCTGATTTGCGTAGTGTTCTTGTGGCGACCGGACTTCGATGACACAAGCAGGCTGGTGGCGGCTTCATTGTCGTTTTGGCATGTTTGGCCGTGCTATCGCGCCTATATGCGATTGGCAGATTCCCGGGTGGACGGCACAGGCAGCGGCCAGGTGAAGACTTTGGGAGGGCCTGCGGTGCATCTTGGAGCGCATGCCGTGTTGTTCCTGGCATTTGTCGGTGCTGCCGCCATAGGGTAAATGAGGGAGAGTGATTATCACGGTTTGCAGTTTTCGACTAGTGTTCCAATCCGATGATGCGAAGGTCATCAGTTACACCTCTCTTACCAAATACAGCGCGATGATTGGCGAGGCCTTTGCGACGCAGTTCAGCATTGGCCGAAGTTAAGTTGATGGTGCACTGGCGCCCTGAAAAACTGGCTCCACGGCCTCAGATGTCCAAGAAAGCTCGCCAACAAACGTTTGTCATGGGTTTTGCAGTCTCACGCCGTCCAATGGGATGGTCTCAAAAGAACACCGGTGTTCGTTGCAGGCAGGTGGCGCAGTCTACAGGCGCCTCCTTTCTATTGGGATATCTTCATTTTTATACAGACAAAACTTTTCCGTTCCCTAATTCCTGAACAGCCTGAGACCCTCCTCGGCATTAACATCATCGTCCATCTCCTCATCGGAAGCCTCCTCGCCAAGCCCCATCCTCTGTCCAAACAGGGTGCCGAACAGTCTATCGACAGCATCCTGCTCCCACATTCTGCGATCTTCAGGCGCCATGAAGTTCTGCAGCTTCTCGTGGATGTTGAAGCGCATCTTGCGGCCCTTGCTCGCTCTCCTGTCGACATGCTTCTTTGTCTTGGCCTCCTTCATGGCCGCCCACCTGACCGTCGGCTGCGCGGCGGCGCCGGTCGAGCCGTTGTCATTGGTGCGCTGCTCGACGAGCTGCTTGAGCATGAGCTGGTAAAAGTCGGCATCGTCGTAAATCTCGGGGTCCTCGTTGAGCTTCTTTGCGACCTGCGCCGGCGCGCAGGAACGGGGGATTCGCGTGCGCTTGATCAAGCGGTCGGTGTTGAGAAGCTGCTCCTCCAGAGAGGCGACGATGGATTGCTGAGAGATGAGGTTGCGGGTCTTGACCTCGACGGTCGTGCTGCGGGTCTTGGTGGACCATGTCTCGAGAACCTTCTTGCGGTACTTGAGCGCACGCTGCTCGGTCTCCTGGATGCCTTCCCAGATGTCCTCGCTAGAGGTTGACGCGTCGACTTCGCTGCGCTTGCGCTTTTCTCCAGCCTGGGCAAGCCCCGCGGGAAGAAGGCTTGCATGGAAGCTGTCGAGAGTGTTGAGGAGCTTGAGGGCGGCCTCTTCGGCGGCCTCGTAAGGTTCCGAGTTCTGCTCAAAGTCGTCGGTGTCGACGACGGAGAACGAGTTGCTGGCGACGATGGCCTTTTGGAGGCGGATGCGGATGTTGAGCAGACCGTCAAAGGTCTTGCGCTGCACGCGGACGGCGACACCCTTCTGCGCGTCTTGTTGCGCCGCGGCGGAGAGGGTTGCTGAGAGGGCCTTTTGGCCTTCGCTCATCAGCTTGCGCTGTTCGGCTCTGGCATCGGGCTTGTTGGACTTGCGGCGAGGCTTGGAGTCTTCGTCGGAGCCGTCAGAGTCTTCCTCCGAATCTTCGTCGCCGTCATCGTCATCGTCATCGTCATCGTCATCGCCCTCATCGTCTTCGGAGCCTTCGAGGTCGGCCAGCAGGTCATCTTCGCTGCCTTCAAACCCATCCTCGTCATCGTCATCGTCATCATCTTCCTCGTCGCCGAGATCCATGCCGCCCTCGTCGTCATCTTCCTCATCCTCCTCGTCCTCGTTATCCTCCAGCTCCCCCTCTTCCTCGTCGGAAATGAAGTCAGCGGCAGTAGGTCTCTTGCTGCGACCACCCTTCTTCTTATCTTTCGGCTGTGAGCTACCACGGAAAACGAACTCGTCGAGCTTCTCGTCGTCGCTTTCGCCAAGGGCATTGTCGCTCGCGATTTCAAAATCTTCGTCGCCGGCGGCCGCCTCGTCCGCAGACAAATCAGCGTTCTCGGGATCGTCGTATTCTTCGTCGTTAGAGTCGAATTTCTCCTGTGCATCCTCAAAAACATCGCTGCCGTCGCTTTCGTCGTTCAAGGCATCTCGGCTGACGCGTGCGCCGCGGTACTGAGGACCGAGTGAGACTCCCTCCTTTTCGCGGAGCTTGCTCTTTCTGAAACACCCGTCAGTATTGATTCTCAAGCCCGTGTCATTGTTTCTCAATGGCGTACCCGACAGTAATATAATGCTCCGTGCCGACGTTCTCATCTTCGCTCTCACTACTGCCGCTCTCGTTCTCACTCTCGTCGACGGGCTCGGCCTCGGGATCAAGATCTGCGCATTTAAATCAGTCAATGATGGATGTGAAGTCGACCGGACTGCATACCCTTGGGCAGTTGCTCTTCCCAGTCAGATACTCTTCGACGGGCGGCCATTTTGTCGTCCGTCGCAAGTCCGATTGTATGGCGATTACGGCAGAATTCAACAGGCGAAATTTCTGGGCTTCAAGAAACTTTTTGGCGGTGAGGCGCGGCAGAATTAGGAACCCCACCACACGCTGGATTACATAAGGTATCTGCGGGACATTGTCTTCGACATGCTTCATGGTATCCGTACGGCACTTTCATCTAGGAAGATAGGCTTTGCAGCCCAGGTCCAATTCTATTCCGCATAATAATACTTTCGAATAAATATCTAAATCAGAACACAACGCCATTCCTCACGCATTTCGCGAGTGACGCACACTGCGACACGCCAACTTTACTGCTTACCGTCTCTCCAAGCATACAACGGCTGCATGTTCCCGTTCCCATCACACGCGCCAAATTTCCACCAGTCGCGATGGAGCCACCAGGTAACATATCGAACAATCTTGAGAACCAATCTGCCGAGAGGGTCCGGCGGGACGTCTGCCCACAGACCTCCCTCAAATGCGCTGTCCATGGTGGTCAAAGCCCAAGGCAAGCCATCTAGAAAACCCATTTCTTGCTACTCCATGTCAGCTGTTGCACAGGAGGCGGTAATCAATAGTTGGCATACCATGACCTCTTGGGCTTCTTGTGCGAAGATCTTCTCGACTGGCGCCATTTTCTCAGTACCGAACTTTTCTAAACTTATGATGGTGGGAATCTCCTCCTCGAGATGAAGACACAAATCCTTCCCGAAGCGGTCGATTAGAGAAACAACCCTGTTACCGTCGTAGGCTACTTCCCGCGCGATGAGAGCCTTGATGTACTGGGCGAAGGACTCCAGGCCGTTGTGGAAGCTTTTGTGCTGTTCGATGTTGACGTCCATAAACCCAACGATGCCTGTGAGTCTCTCTACTGCCGGAAAAAAGAGGCGCTCTTCTCCGCTATGGTGCGCGTGAATCATGCGATACCACTGGTGCATATAATTCGCGAAGCTGAACTCGTCTTCGGGCTTGATGTGGGGAGCTTGCAGGTAGATGGCGTTGAGACCTCGGAGAATGCAATTGTGAACCAACGCCATTTCAGACGCCATCCTGTGGAACATCGTCGGCTGTTTCGCCATGTTAGTTTCTCTTCTGTGTGATGTGCTGCTGGACATGACTTGCCTTCACATCTTTTGGAAGCTGCGAGATTGGTGTCGACACCAAAGGGAATGGATGGTCGGCGTAAATGGGAGCCATTGCGCAGGTCTGACGGCGATGATACAATAATGGTCAGAAACAAGAGGCGATGCTTGATATCTTGACTTGCTGAAGCCAGGAGCTATTCATGATTCTAGTGAACAAACCACCGGATCTTATACAGCTTCAAGGCTACACAATCGTAACCTAGGTAGGCCACGCAACCCGTTGAAGCTCATGATCGAACGCATAGTCTCATGTCTTGTTTGCGCGAGGTGAGAACTAGACTCTTTCACATTACAGCTGTCCTAATCTGGACACACCTTCACTACGCAAAAGGCGGACATCAGCAGCCACACGCAGATCTGACGAATTGAATCCTGGTGTCTTCGCGGCAAAGCCGTCGGCCCAATTACAGCGGGCCATTATGGTTGAGGCTGCCGAGCTGAGTTGAAGCAAAAAGGCAAAGACCATCGTTGAGGTAGCCGATGAAGATGCCCGAGATGCCAGAAGTGTACTCAGCTTGATCGGACGCGCATAAGCACAATCTGGATATCGTCGCTGCCAAGAGATGAGATACCCGGTGTAGGAGCGGGTTGAATCAACCGCACTGCTCAGCCTGCACTACGAAAGAGCGCCTTGGGTCAGGCAGTAATCACATCACACAATTCTGCGCGCTTCCTCGTCTTGACTCAGTCACAGACCCAGAGTCCCAAGATGATGTCAATGCCGTCTTCAAGATCTGCAGTGTACACTGTGCAATCGATCTGGCGTACGACGGTTAACCGCGAAACATATAGTAGCTGGTGATTGTCACAGTGCGACACTCATCGCGACTTGACCGGGATATCGCGAACAGTGCCCAATCAGTCGCCGACGATATCAATTACAGTGGGCTGTCCCAGCCAAGTGCTGGGCCGGATGCGACGGACAGCCGGGATCCGGGCCGGTCACGTGCACCGTCGCAGCGTAAACAGTGAGGCTACCGCTAAGCCCGCTGGAGGAGGCACCTGGCTGACTGAACCTAGGCTGGACTGGGCGGGCAAGGGGGGGCGCAGGCAAAAAATCACCATTACTCGCTTGTCTCCATCTCCTGGATCGCGACTCGACTGTCGGCTCACGAAAAGCATAGCAGACCAGAGGAAACCGGCCGCGGGTGCCTCGCAATGCAATGGACCAGATCGAGTCGCAGGTTAGCGACCTGCACTATTTGACCCAAGCAGCCGTTCCTCTGCCACCCGACCGCGCTGCCTCTGCTTATTCTCCACACAATCAACAAGCCCATTCTCCTCTTTCCGCGACCCCCGGAGACAATTCCGCGAACTCAGCAGGGGGAGCCCGCGCCTCGATAGGTCCCTCTGGTGGTACTCCCTCCGTCTCGGGAGGCAATAAAAGAAAGTCTGAAGACGAAGGTGCTGCAGCCAAGCAGCAGCGAAGCAAACGGAATAGGGTGCGTTGTCTCTCCAGCTTGTTGCCGTCCTCTTGGAGTTGGTGCGCATGGCCGGCTGTTTGTCGTCTGCCATGCCTCCACCCACGTCCCCTCCAGACCGACGCGGACTCTTCCCGTCACGTCCTCTCGTACACACTCTCTCCCTCCCCGTGCCATGCCCACCCCCCTCTGTAAACTTTGTGGAACTTCGGGACGCTGATTGCGGTTGTGACAGTATATTTCGATAGCCTGGTAAGGTTTCCTCCAGTCCCTTCGTACCTCTCGAGTGCCATATCGTTGCCGGAATCATCCATCGCTGGAGCAATCCGTCGGCGCAATGCGACCGCCTAGCTCTACTTATACCTCGTCTACACGGCGATTGTCTCGATGGATCATGGCACGAACTCCAAATCACTAACACGCTTCCTCCCCTCGTAGCAATGAATGCAAGAGACGCAAAATCAAGTGCAATGGCGAAACTCCTTGCCAAAGATGCGGCAACCTCAACCTGGCGTGCCTGTACGCCCCCAACTGCTGCTCCAACAACTTCAAGGACTCGGATGAGTTCAAGAGCATGACGACTCAGATGGCCCGGCTACAGGAGCAGGTTGACAATCTCTACCAAAGCATGAATGCCCTCCGTTCCGAAACGCTGCGTCTTGCGCCCATCCAAGACAAAGTATTACCTTTCCCTTCGAGCACCGTCCAGGCGTCACCAGCCAGCTCGCTGTCTTCCGTCCACCGGCCCGAGTTGACCAAACCAAAGCAGGCACCCTTCCGTGGCCCTACCAGCATGGCCTTCAATATGGACGTTGCAAACAACACCATCCACAACATGGGCTACAAAGGCATCGGGGATTCCGAGGACCAAAATGCTCCGTTTGCCATGCCCGAGGACAGCCCTTTTCGCCTTGGACCCCAGGAGAACCCCACTGATCCCTTATGGAACTTCACCCAGGATGAGATGATTCGTTTGTGTCGTCTTCACGAGGAGGAGGTTGGCATCATGTACCCTGTCATCAATATTCCGTCTGTCATCGAGCATGTTCGCAACCTTTGGTCTTACATGGAGTCGGCAAGGAAGCAAGGCGCCATGCCGTTAATCAATGATGACAAGACTCTTCAGCTCAAGATTGTCATGTGTTGTGCTCTCGTGGTGGAGGAGCACGGTCACAGCGAAAAAGCCATCAAGCTGATCGACAGCATGGACGCCGTTGTCAACCGCAAGCTGATGGTGGACCCTGTCGACTTCACCAGCCTGCCAGCGCTCTGTCTGCTCGCTGGCTACAAGTTCTTGGCCAACGAAGAGATCGCAGCATGGCGCGTCATGGGTCAAGTTACCAGACTGTGTTTGGAGATGGGCATTCATCGCCAACAAGGTCTCATGGCTATCAAGGATGAGGAAGAGCGAAAGACTGCCCTCAGCAGTTTTTGGTCGGCCTACGTTCTCGACAGAAGGTGGGCTTTCGCAACGGGTCTGCCATTTGTTGTCCCGGACGAGGAAATCGATCCGGACTTGCCGCTGCCTGTAAGTTGTCTTGTACCCCAGAATGACGCATGAACTAATGTTCATAAGGAGCAATTCCCGTTTCTGGCTGCCATGGTCACCTATTCAAGACTCGGTGCCAAGGTTTGGCGTCAAGTGGCACATTTTGGCCCTGTTCTTGCCCGAGAACTCCACCATGAGGACATGGAGCGGTTGGACCAGGAAATTCTGTCCTGGTACGAGACTGTGCCTGAGGAGGTTAGGATGCGCAACTGGGACAAGGACAAGAAGTTGACCATGACCCCGTCTTACAACCTGCAAAGGCTTCGGGTTTGGACCTATCTTCGTTTCAACCAGGTATGTTTGCTCTGGAAGACTCGCTGCTGACGGATGATGACTGACTTAACTTCAGATCCGCACTTGGCTTTACACCCCGATCTTGCATAGCGCTACTAGCATCATGAGCCACACTGTCCAGGCCCAACGCGTTGTTGACTTGGCGAAAGATACGATTCGATTACTCAACCATCTAAACAACACCACAAATATGTACCGCAAAATCCAGGTCTTTTACCATCAATTTCTCACCTCGGCCATCTCTGTCCTCTTCCTGGCTGCCGTTCACGCTCCGGTCAAGTTTAGTGCCAGTGTCCGCGAGGAGTTTTATATGGCTCTAGAACTCGTCAAGGATCTATCTGCGAAGAGTTGGGTATCCCAGCGTCTGTGGCGCACCATTTCTTCTCTCAAAGAAGTCGCCCCAAGTATCGGCCTCCGCAATCAGGCTGACGAAGACCCACACAACTCTGCTGCGCTCGCTATGGCTGGGCTTGCGACCGGCCGCCTGTCAACAGACCCAGGACCCATCGCACCATATGGCCGCTCAATGGCATCGGCGGCACCTGCGATGCCACAACCGCAGCCAACGTCCAACATGGATGGCATTCCATCACCAAGCAACGGGACGCGTATCCAAACCGAGATGAGCAGGATCTTTGAAGGCTATATGGGACTAAACGGCTACTCTACAGGGGATGACAGCTTTGGAGGAGTATCCAGCGCGGAGTTGACCCCAACGACAACTGGCATGCCGAACCCCTATGTTGACAATGTTTTCTATCATTTCCGGGAGATGTTCTAACCGCTGTCGGCCAAGCATTCCATTTCTGTATTGATAGCGGCTGCCATTCAAGGCAGAGTTCTTGCATGCCTACTACTTGCTGTAAATGCTGTTCGTATTGTCATGCATTTCAAGAAAAGCAGACTAATGTGTACCAATTTTCATCCAAATCTACCAACGCGGTTCACAGGCCAAACCACTTGAGATCCTGATCTTCTTGTACAGGTACAGTGTGCCCAACACCCTGGGCAGAAATTCCTACAAGCTTGGTACCGTCTCCATAGACAATCTGCGTATATCCGCTCAGAGGTGTGTTCGTATTGTTCTTGGTAAAGCTCACTCCGTGTATTGTAGACCACTCTTTCAGCTGCTCCGCCAGATTGGGGTACGTCACCAGAGTATCAGCCGTGCCGTGGAACGTTTGCATACGCGGGTAGCTACCGTTGTACCCGGGATACATGGCGCGTACCTGAGCAGCCCACTCCGCGCCCGTCTTGATGATCTGCCCGTTTGCGCAACGCGGGTCGGCGCTGATGGGGCTTGATCCAGGAGAACCAGCAAGGCACCCAGCCGCAACACCGGAGTAGCAAGACGCCGCGGCAAAGAGATCCGGGTACGTGGCCGACAGGACGTTGGTCATCATGCAGCCCGACGAGCTTCCCGTCACGAAGACCTTTGTGGGGTCGGCGGAGTACTTGCTGATGGTGTAGCGGATCATGTTGGCCAGGCCGTTCGAGTCGCCGCCGCCATCGCGAGTGAGGCTCTTGGTCGATGCAACGTCCCAGCAGTTGAAGTCCTTGGTGGAGGAGGGGTAGATCACGACGAAAGTTCCCTTTGAGTCAGACAGGGGGACGTATTCGGCTTGACGAGAGTAGGCCGAGCCCGAGCCGCCGCAACCGTGGAGTGCGAG